AGCCAAGAGCTTCTTCCAGGTCTCCTACCTGAGTGCAGTGGCCCAAGGATTTGGGCCATCCTCCACTGCTTTCCCAGGCACATTAGCAGAGAGCTGGATCAGAAGTGGAGCAGCCGAGACTAGAACCAGCGTCCATGTGAGATGACGGTGCTGCAAGCTGGGACTTTAACCTGCTGCACCACGGTGTAGGTCCCAGTAGTAACTATGTAGCAACCGTATTTTTTGAAAAACTGCCAGACTGTTTTCCTTGTACCAGCTTACATTTCCAACACTGTTTTGAGAGTTCTGGTGACTGCAGTTCCTCATCACACTTGGTATTGTCTGACTTTTCTATTCTAGCCATCCTAATAGATGTGCTGTGATATCATTGTGGTACTCTCTGCATCTGCCTGATGACTGCTGTTGAGTGGCCCGTTTGTATATTAGCCATTTTTTTTTTTTTTTGACAGGCAGAGTGGACAGAGAGAGACAGAGAGAAAGGTCTCCCTTTGCTGTTGGTTCACCCTCCAATGGCCACCGCGGCCGGCGCGCTGCAGCCGGCGCACCGCGCTGATCTGATGGCAGGAGCCAGGAGCCAGGTGCTTTTCCTGGTCTCCCATGGGGGGAGTACAGGGCCCAAGCACCTGGGCCATCCTCCACTGCACTCCCTAGCCACAGCAGAGAGCTGGCCTGGAAGAGGGGCAACCGGGACAGAATCCGGTGCCCCAACCGGGACTAGAACCCGGTGTGCTGGCGCCGCTAGGCGGAGGATTAGCCTAGTGAGCCACGGCGTCGGCCATATTAGCCATTTTTATATCTTCTTTGGAGAAATAAATTGTTCAGATCCTTTGTCCATTTTAAAATTGATTTTTTATTATTAAGTTGTCGATACACATCCTTTATTAGATATGTATATGATGTCAGCATTTTCTTTCAATCTGTGGGATCTCTCCACTTTGTTGTCCTTTGAAACAGAAGAGTTTTTCATTTTGATGAAATCCAAATGATTGATTTTATTTTTTTTAAAGATTTATTTATGGACTTGAAAGGCAGAGTTAGAGAGAGAAGAGGAAAGAGTGAGAGAGAGAGAGAGAGACAGAGGGAGCTGAATTTGAAGTAGGGCAGCTGAAACTGGAACTGGCGCCCTCATGGAATGTCAACATTACAGGCTCAACCCACTGTACCACAGTGCTCTCTCCTGATTTTTCCTTTTTTTTTTTTCTCAAAGTTTTTTTATTTCCATCTGCTTGAAATGCAGAATAAGGAAAAGAGGGAAAGAGAGATCTTTCATGCTTGTTTACTGCCCAAATGCCTATAATAGCCAGGATTGGGCCAGACTGAAGCAAGAGACCTGAACTCTGTCTGGGTCTCACGTGGTAGGCACTCAAGTACTTGGGCCATTATATGCTGCCTCCAGGATGTACCTTGATAGTAAGTTAGATCAGAAGCAGAGTAGCCAGGACTGCAGTCAGCACTCTGATGTAAGATGTGGGCGTAGCACATGCAGCTTAGCCCAAGGCTGCAACACCTGCTACAGCACCAGCCTCATACTTTGAGTAGGTGTTAGTGTGTGGTGTGCACTAGGACTCCAGCTTCATTCTTTTGTGTGTGAATATAGGATTCTGCCATGCCCCAGGTGTTGAAAAGACTTCATTTTTTCCCACTTTGAGTGATCTTGGCCTCCTTCTGAAAAATAAATAGACCTTAGATGTGTGGATTTATATCTGTTGTACATGGCTTTTCTTGTTTTAGTACCACACAATTTTGATTTTTATTATTTTGTTGTAAGTTTTGAGGTTGGGTGTTCTCTTTGTTTTTCAAGATTGTTGGTCTGTTTTTAATGTGAATTTTAGGATCAGTTTGTCAGTTTCTATAGGGCAGTCAGCTGATCTTTTTTTTAAAAGATTTTTTTAATTTATTTGAAAGGTAGAGCTACAAAGTGAGAGAGAGAGAGAGAGAGAGAGAGAGAGAGAGAGAGATCTATCTGCTGATTCACTCCCCAGATGGCTGCAACAACCCGGGCTGGGCCAAACCGAAGCCAGGAGCCTAGAACTCCTTTTCCCAGGTACATTAGCAGGGAACTGGATTGGAAGTGGAGCAACTGGGACTTGAACTGGCACATTTATGGGATGCTGGTGTCACAGGCAGCAGCTTAACTTGCTAAGCCACAACACTACCACCCAGCTGATATTTCAGATAAGGATTGTATTGAATCTGGAAGTCATTTTGAGGAGTATTGCTATCTTGGTAATATATATTTTTTTTTTTTGACAGGCAGAGTGGACAGTGAGAGAGAGACAGAGAGAAAGGTCTTCCTTTGCGGTTGGTTCACCATCCAATGGCCTCTGCGGCTGGCACGCTGCGGCCGGTGCACCATGCTGATCCGATGGCAGGAGCCAGGTACTTATCCTGGTCTCCCATGCGGTGCAGGGCCCAAGTACTTGGGCCATCCTCCACTGCACTCCCTGGCCACAGCAGAGAGCTGGCCTAGAAGAAGGGCAACCGGGACAGAATCCGGCGCCCCGACCGGGACTAGAACCCGGTGTGCCGGCGCCACAAGGTGGAGGATTAGCCTAGTGAGCCGCGGCGCCGGCAATATTTACTCTTACTCTTAGAACAATTTATTTTTACTTTCTTTTGAATGGTGGGGAGACACACACACACACACACACAGAGAGAGAGAGAGAGAGCGAATGAGCAGATCTTCCATCGGCTGGTTCACCCCGCCAAGGTCTGCAAGAGCCAGGGCTAGACCAGGGTGAAGCCAAAAGCCTACAACTCTGGGTCTTCCCTATGGGTGTCAGAGACCCAAGTGCTTGAGTCACCACTCAAGGCCTCTCAGAGTGTGCATAAGCAAGAAGCTGGAATAGAAGTGGAGCAGCTGGGACTTGAACCATGTACTCTGACCCATATGGTATAGAGATACCCAGGTAGTGAATTAACCACTATTCCAAATACCTACTCCAATATTTAGTCTTCTGGTTCATGAACAAAAAAGTGTCTTTCCATTTATGAAGATCTTTAATGTCTTCTAACATTATTTCTGATTTTCATAGTATATGTTTTGCTGTTCTTTTGTCAAATTTATTGCTACATATTTTATTCTTTTTTAAAATAAAGATTTTATTTATTTATTTGAGAGGTAGAGTTATAGACAGAGAGAGGGAAAGACATAGAGAAAGGTCTTTGATCCACTGGTTCACTCCCCAAATGGCCACAATGACCAGGGCTGGTCCGATCTGAAGCCAGGAGCCAGGAGCTTCACCTGGGTATCCCACATGAGTGCAGGGTTCAAGGACCTGGGGCATTTTCCGCTGCCTTCCCAGGCCATAACAGAGAGGGAAAGAGGAGTTGCTGGGATCGAACTGGTGCCCCTATGGGATGCCAGTGCCACAGGTGGAGGCTCAGCCCACTGTGCTACAACACCAGCCCCCAAGTATTTCATTCTTTTTGATGCTATTGTGAATGGAACTGCTTTCTTGATTTTATTTTTGGCTTATTTATTGCTATTATATAGAAATGCCATTGATTTTTGCATATTGATGTTCTGATCTTTAATCTTGTTTAGTTTGTTTATTTCAGTAGCTTTTAGTAGAGTGATTAGGATTTTTTTTTTTTTGACAGGCAGAGTGGACAGTGAGAGAGAGAGACGGAGAGAAAGGTCTTCCTTTGCCGTTGGTTCACCCTCCAATGGCCGCCGCGGCTGGCGCACCGTGCTGATCTGAAGCCAGGAGCCAGGTGCTTATCCTGGTCTCCCATGGGGTGCAGGGCCCAAGCACTTGGGCCATCCTTTACTGCACTCCCTGGCCACAGCAGAGAGCTGGCCTGGAAGAGGGGCAACCAGGACAGAATCCGGCGCCCCGACCGGGACTAGAACCCGGTGTGCCGGCACCGCAAGGCGGAGGATTAGCCTAGTGAGCCGCGGCGCTGGCCTAGGATTGTCTATATATAAGATTATATCTTTTAGCAGTAAAGATAGTTTTGCTTCTTTAGAAGTTAGGAAATATTCCCTCTTCTCTTTATTGGGAGAGTTAGTGAATTGATGTTAGTTCTCCAAATACGTGATAGAATTCAGCAGTAAAGGAATTTAGGCCTTTATTATTGACTTTTTTTTGGTGGATGGTTTGATTATGAATTCAGTTTCTTGTTTTAGGTCTGTTCAGATTTTCGGTTTCTTCTTGACAATTTGGTAGTTTGTATTTTTATAGGAGTTTGTCAGTTTTTTGTAAATTATCTGATCTGTGCACAAAAATTATGGTACTTTTCATAAGCTCGTGGCTGAGTTAGGGACTGTCACGTGAGGCCCGGAGGAGTTCATGGGCTGTCTCATGATCCCCACATGACCAGAGTGTAGGCGGTCATGCATTCGGTCCTGAGCAGTGCCTGGGCTCCTCACAAGACCCCTATGGGCTGGGAGGAGGCGGCAGTGCAGAGGAGTTCGGGGGCCCCTTCCGTGTGGAAGCCTATGGGCAGCAAGCTGACATGTGCCGACAGCCGGGCCTGGCACTCCAGCCTGCCTTGACAGATGTGGGGTTGCTTTTCCAAGCCAATGCGTTGGAGCCTGCCTTCCCAGAATCCTCGGGTTGCTGGGCTCTGCTAATTGGCTGTGCCTCGGCTCTATCTCTTGGGGTCGGGCGTTTGAAACGCATATCCACTTCAGGCTCCCATTATCCTGGCCCGCAGCTGCCCACCACCCAAATGGCAGCCTCATTCTACCCTTTTGGGTCTCAGTGGGGACGGTCCCTAAAAAAAAAAATAATTATGGTACTTTTATTTTTTTTCTTTCTGTAAGGTCTGTAGTGGGTTCCTTGTTTTATTTCTGGTCTTTATAAGCCTTCCATTGTCTTTTCTTGATCAGTCTAGTTAAAAGTTTATCCATACTGTTGATCTTTTCAGTGAACCAACTTTGATTTCATTGATTTTCTCAGCTGTTTTTATTGCAGTAATTTCTGCTCTAATTTTTTATTTTCTTTTATTTACTCTAGGTTTAACTTGGTTTTTTTCTTCCCATGTTTCTTAAGGTGAAAGGTTGCTGAATTCCATCCGGGTCTCTCACACAGGTGGCTGGCACCCAGGTTTTGGGCCATCATCTGCTACCTCCCAGGTTCATTCTCAGGAAGCTGGATCAGAAGTGAGTATCAGGACTTGAACTGGCTCTGGTGTAGGTTACAGGTGTCCCAGGGAGAGCCTCTTAACACATTGGGTCACTGTGCCCACCCCTTAGGTCTTATTTTTGAGTAGACTCAGATTTAGAAGTGAAAGCTGTCAGAGAGGGAGCCTTTGTGTTGTGGTGAGCTGTTCCTGGCATTTTTCTTTGTCCTCCTTCATTCTCTTGACCAAGAGTTTAGCATATTCTGCCACCTGTCCCTTACTCTTCTTCATGTACTGTTTCTTCAGATCAGTATGCCAGCATTTGTGTCACGTGGAGTAACAAGACGGTGAATCCTGGGGGTCTGGTTCTAGGTTTTCTTATCTTTGTTACAACATATTATGGGACATCGTTTTGTTTAGAGAGATTAAAAAGTTTGTGGATTCTTTTTTTTTTTTTTTTTTTTTTTTTTAGATTTACTTATTTATCTGAAAGAATTACACACAAAGAAGGAGAGGCGGGGTGGGGGGTGTCTTGTATCTGTTGGTTTACTCCCCAATTGGCCGCAATGGCCAGAGCTGCGCTGATCTGAAGCCAGGAGCCAGGAGCTTCCTCTGGGCCTCTCATACGAGTGCAAGGGCCCAAGGACTTGGGCCATCTTTTACTACTTTCCAAGGCAATAGCAGAGAGCTGGATCAGAAGTGGAGCAGCCGGGACTTGAACCGGCACCCATATGGGAATGTCAGCATTGCAGGTGGCGGCTTTACCCGCTATGCTACAGCGCAGGCCCCAAAAGTTTGTGGATTCTACTGGGTCTTTGTGTCTCCATACTACAAGTTACTGTAGTATCAGCCAGTCTGGGAATATCCTTCGCTCCAGGTTGAGATTGGCATCCCCATGACAAACAGGTTTGTACTTTGTATCTGCCATTTTCCTTGGTCTATAACAGATGTATCCCTTACTCAGCAACAGTTGGACCTTGCTTTATGGGAAACACTGTTGTTCACACCCCTGATTGGGACCACAGATCCTCCCCCAGGCCATCAGCAGCAACTTTGATGGCTCTGCACCTCTCACAGAAGCAGAGTCTGCATTCATTGTCCACTTCCATGAGTTTCTGGCAGCTGGGGACTGGAGGGGATGTTGAGCTTCATGGAAGAAATCTCTGGCTTCCAGGGCACTACGAGAAAGAAGCCTCTCTCTTTTCTTTCCTTTTTTTTTTTAAAGATCTATTTATTTATTTATTTTTCAACATTTTCCTATTTATTTATCTGAAAGGTAAAACTGGAGACACAGGCAGAGAGACAGAGTCATTCCATCCTCTGGATCATTTCCCAAATGACCACAGCAGCCAGGTTTGGGCCAGGCTAAGTCAGGTGCAGGTACTCCATCTGAGTTTTCGACATGAATTGCAAGGGCCCAAGCATTTGAGCCATCAAAAGATCTGTTTATTTTATTTGAAAGTGTTACACACAGAGAGAAGGAGAGGCAGAGAGAGTGGGTCTTCCATCTGCTGGTTCACTCCCCAATTGGCTGCAACGGCCAGAGCTGTGCTGATCCGAAGCCAGGAGCCAGGAGCTTCCTGCGGGTCTCCAATGTGGGTGCAGGGGCCCAAGGACTTGGGCCATCCTCTACTGCTTTCCCAGGCCATAGCAGAGAGCTGGATAGGAAGTGGAGCAGCCAGGACTCGAACTGTCACCCATATGGGATGCTGGCACTGCAGGTGGTGGCTTTACCTGCTAAGCCACAGCACCGGCTCCTCTGTCTTTTTTCTAGTACAGGCATTTGCAGCAGTAAATTTCCCTCTAAACACTCCTTTAGCTGCATTTTATAACTCTGCATTGTGCTTTTTCATTCATTCAAAGTATTTCCTAATTTCCTTTGTGATTTCTTCTTTCACCTAATGGATATTTCGGACTATTTTTTTTGAAAGATTTATTTATTTTATTTGAAAGCTAGAGTTACACAGAGAGAGAAGGAGAGGCAGAGAGAGACAGAATGGTCTTCCTTCTGCTGATTCACTCCCCAGATGGCTACAGTAGCTGGAGCTGTGCCAATCCAAAGCCAGGAGCCGGGAGTTTCTTCCGGGAATCCCAAGCACATGGGCCATCTTGTACTGCTATCCCAGCCCATAGCAGAAAGCTGAATCGGAAGTGGAGCAGCCAGGCTTCAAACCGGTACCCATATGGGATGCTGGCGCTGCAGGTGGCAGCTTTACCAGCTATGCAACAGCCCTGGCCCACAGACTAATTTTTTTTTCCCCCAATTGAAGCAGTTCTTTTTTAGAGAGTTGATTTGTTTTTTACATTGAAGATGATTGTATGTTCACATGACATCATAAGAAATAGTGAAGGCCAGCACCGTGGCTCACTAGGCTAATCCTATGCCTGTGGCGCCGGCACCCCGGGTTCTAGTTCTGGTTGGGGTGCCGGATTCTGTCCTGGTTGCTCCTCTTCCAGGCCAGCTCTCTGCTGTGGCCTGGGAAGGCAGTGGAGGATGGCCCAAGTCCTTGGGCCCTGCACCTGCTTGGGAGACCAGGAGGAAGCACCTGGCTCCTGGCTTCGGATTGGCGCAGCACACCGGCCGCAACATGCCTGCCGTAGTGGCCACTTGGAGGGTGAACCAACGGTAAAAGGAAGACCTCTCACTCTCACTCTCACTCTCACTCTCACTCTCACTCTCAACTTTGCCTGTCCAAAAAAAAAAAAAAAAAAAAAAAAAATAGTGAAGAGAACTCCTGTACCCTTAGTTTGATCCAGTGAGCTCAGTAGTAATACCTTCAGTTCCATCTTTGCGAAGGCTCGTCATCTTTTTCTTTTGCATTCTCTTTGCCACCTCTTTTTGATGGGATGAACCCTGTTCTCCACCCCAAAGTTGACTTGAATATTGAAACTTGTAATGACTTATACACATACTGGAGGGTGATATTCCTCACCTGATGAGATTTTCTCAGGGAAGCAAGGCAGTCTCTGAAGCAGGTCTAAAAATGACTTGAAAGAACAGCGTGGGGCCAGCGCCGTGGCTCAATAGTCTAATCCTCTACCTGTGACACTGGCACACCGGATTCTGTCCCGGTTGCTCCTCTTCCTGTCCAGCTCTCTGCTGTGGCCTGGGAGTGCAGTGGAGGATGGCCCAGGTCCTTGGGCCCTGCATCCGCATGGGAGACCAGGAGAAGCACCTGGCTCCTGGCTTCGGATCAGCACAGTGCACTGGCTGCAGCGTGCTGGCCGCAGCAGCCATTAGGGGGTGAACCAACGAAAAAGGAAGACCTTTCTCTCTGTCTCTCTCTCACTGTCCACTCTGCCTGTCCAAGAAGAAGCTAGATAGACGCAGCGTGGGGCAGCTGGCTTTTAGCTTTGAATATAGTTAGGGGGTGGGGCGGGGGTGAGGATTTTTTGTGCAGCTAAGGCTTGTGTGCTTTGCACTTACCACCAGCAGAGGAGGGAGACCTAGGCCACCTTACTGGTTTGCCCACATTTGGACAAAAAGGAGACGCTACAGTGATGGGCCTTGAGAGCTGACATCAGTCAAATATCAAAAATCAATTCAGACTATTACATATTGACACATCTACTTCCCTCCTGGTCTGATTCTCTGGTCCTTTAATTACCCTGGCAGTGATGAATCTGTTCTCCATTTCCATTTTTTTTGTCATTTCAAGAATGTTATATAAATGGAATCGTGTGGTATGCAACCTTTTCACTTACAATTTTCTGAAGTTGCTTATATATTTTGTGTGTGAGTATCAGTAGTTTGTTCTTATTGTTGAGTAGTATTCCATTGAAGGGCTGTGCCTTACTTTGTTTAACCATTCTCATCTGTTGTAGGACATCTGGGTAGTTTGTAGTTTTCAGCTGTTATGAACAAAGTTACACTGAACAGTCATGTACAGGTTTTTGCATGGGTCTAAATTTTTGTTCTGGGGGTGTAAATGTCCAGGAGTGAAGTGCTAGGCTATATGGTAGTTGTACATTTAGTTTTTAAGAAGCTACTATCCTGTCTTCCAGAATGGTTGTGCTGGTTTGTTTGTTTGTTTTATTGTTTAAGTTTTATTTATGTACTTATTTGAAAGGCAGAGTGAGAGAGAGAGAGAGAGAGAGAGACAGATAGATTTCCTGTCTGCTGGTTCACTCCTTAAATGCCCACAATATCTGGGGCTTGTCCAAACCAAAGCCATGAGCCAGAAACTCCATCTGGGTTTCCCACTTTAGTGGCAGGGACTCAGATAGTTTATTCAACACCTGCTGCCTCCCAGGTTCATTAGCAGGAAACTGGATTGTAAGTAGAGGAGCTGGAACTCAAACCAGGCACTGTGATGTGGGATGTGGTGTCTCAAGTGATGGCCTAACTCTCCGCACCATTATGCTCATCCCTGGTTGTATTATTGTTTTTAAATCCCTACAGTAATGTGTGAGTGATCCAATTTCTTGACTTCTCAACAGCATTTGGAGTTGTCACTGTTTATAGTTTTACTTATTTTTATTTGTTTGAAAGGCGGAGAGGGAGAGAAAGAGAGATGCAAATCTTCCATCTGTGGTTTATTCTCCAAATGCCCATGATAGCCAGCACTGGGCAAGCATCCAGGAATTGCATCTAGGTCACCCACATAGTTGGCAGGGACTCAAATATTTGAGCCATCACCTGCTTCCTCCCTGGAGACACATTAACAGGAAACTGGATCAGAAGCAGGATTGGAACTTGAACCCAGGTACTCCAGTATAGGACATGGGCTTAACTACTGCACCACAACATCTACCCTATTGCTGATAAATGTGTAGTGATAAGCCAAAACTTATTTTCCTGTATTCTAGAATATTTTCTTAGCTTATAAGTGACAACTATATTAGTTAACTTCTTATTAGTATGATGAAATACCTGACACAGGCTACTTATAAAGTAAGGAGGTTTATTTTGACTCAATAGTTTCAGAGGGTCAGGTTGAAGATTAAGCAGCCTTGTTGGTTTGGCTTCTGATGAAGGTAGCAGTGTAGAGCATGGAGCATGAGCTTAGGAGGGGTCACATGGCAAGGCAGGAAACAGAAATAGTGACTGGGCTGGGCATAGCTCAGCCTTTTATAAGTGGCCTCTTGGGAAAATTACATTCCAAGGGTTTGCTTTCCTCGACTAGGCTCTACCACCTTCCAGGAGTACCACACGGGGACCAATCCTTTCACACAGGGGCCTTTGGTGTATAGCCAAACTGATATCCAAGTCATATCATTCCACCCATGGTCCCCAAACATTCATGTCCATCTCACAATGAAGAATGCATTCGTTCCATCACCGAGAGTACCCTTTCGTCCAGTTCCAGCAGAACCCTCATTTTCATCAGAAACCTCATTGGCAAACATTCAGTGTCCACATTTCTTTCAGCGTTCAGGTCTGAGCTTCTGCTAGAAACACCTGGAATGCTGTGCTCACAGCATTGTACTTTTTTCTAGTTTGATTCCCCCAAGCTTTCCTAACATCTGTCAGTTAGCCAATTCCAAAGCCACTCCCTTGTTTTTAAGTATAGTTACAGCAATGACCCTACTCCTTAGTACCAGTTTTCTGTATTGCTCAGCTGTGGTATACTTGGTATATTGGTATAATGAAATGCCAGACACAGCTTACTTAAGAAGCAAGGAGGTATATTTTGGCTTAGGTTTTATAGGTTCAAGTATAAGAACGGGCAGCCCCACTGGTGTGACCTCTGACAGGGTGGCAGTGGTGGAACGTGGAATGTATACAGAGGAGAGATCACATGGCAAGCAATGAGGCAGAGAGGGTGGCTGGGCCCAACTCAGGCTTTTGTAGCCAACACTTCAGTGAAAATTGCCTTCCAAGGGGCATCCCTGTGTTGACCTAAGGACCCGCATTTGTACCACCTTCTGAAGGTTCACTGCCTCTCACTAACATCTCCCTGATGAACAAGCCTTTAACACATGGGCTTTTGGGGCACTCCCAAACTAAATCCAAAGTCTAGTCATAGTCTTGTCCTGGGCAAGTACATCTGTGCAGATGTTCATATATGGGTATCCTCCTCTCTTTTCATCCAGATATGTTGCCAGTAGTAGAATCTAGCTGTACCATGGATGATGGGTGTTCTTTTATCCTCTCCTGAACAGGGATGTTGGTTGTTTCAGTCTCTTGCTAGTAACTTCTGATGTCTCACCAAACGGCATGTCTACTGCAGTGCTGAGAAGATACTCCCAAGGACACAGCAGCAGCACAGCGAAGGCAGACCTGATTTGAGCTCTGCTGGATAGACCCTGATTAGGAGTGATGCCTCCGGGCAGGTGGCATGCTGTCCATCCTGCTCAGGCCCAGGCCTCAAGGGAACGCGGGCGCCTTCAGGTGGTCAAGAAAGAGGATGAGGATGAAGGCTACACTTCAGTGCAGCCTGCCAGGCCACAGACACTCAACCGTCCTGGCCAGGAGCTCTTCCGACAGCTCTTCAGGCAGCTTCGCTACCATGAGTCTTCTGGGCCCTTAGAAACACTGAGCCGACTCCGGGAGCTCTGCCGCTGGTGGCTGAGGCCTGACGTCCTCTCCAAGGCACAGATGCTGGAGCTGCTGGTGCTGGAACAGTTCCTGAGCATCCTGCCTGGGGAGCTCCGGGCCTGGGTGCAGCTGCATCGCCCCGAGAGTGGTGAGGAGGCTGTGGCCTTGCTGGAGGAACTGCAGAGGGACCTTGATGAGACATCTTGGAGGGTGAGTGAGAGCACGTGTATGGTGTCCATGGAACTTTGCCTGCTGGTGAGCTAGCTTGTCTGGGGTTTGGCTGCCCTCTGAACTGTCAACATGGACATCCCATGGCACCCGGGCAATTTAGAACTGGACCTGAGCCATGGCCCCTTAGCTGGCCTTCCCCACCTTCCCAGAGGAAGCTTAGCTCCAGGATAAAGTCAGAGAGTAGCCATCAGTGGCAGTAACTGGTTACCTGACACTGTGACTTAACTACAAAGTCTATCTCTACATATTACCTAGTTTGACTCGAGTCACTATAATCCAGAAAGTGCAGGAGAGGAGGCGGAGCTCAGGGTCAGGACTGTTGACCTTCGAGTGGAAGACTTTATGTTAAAACCCAGAAGAGCAGTCTACATGTACTGTGTTGCTTCATTCTCAGTAATTTTTGAGAATCTGTGTGCGAGTGTGGGGCTGAGTTTAACCTAAGTGCCAATGAGCCCTGGTTTGGGACATTGGAAGACCTCAATTTTAAACTTCATTCCATACCCTCAAATGTCCTTGGCCACCTTGTTGTGCATTTCACAGCCTTGGTTTATTGAGAGGAAAATGTAGAAAGGATCTAAGCCGGAGAATTTTTCAGTATGTGTCTGCCTAACCTGGACCTGGATCTGGCCTTGGTGTTGGGAGCAGTGCTAACAGTCCCGAGCCTGGCTGTAGAGAAGAGGTGGTTCAGGTCATGCATTCTTCTGCTCCTGCTGGGCTCAGGAAAGCTGATGCCTCCTGTCTATCTTTAGAGTTTTTAAAAAGAACACCTTTTTAGATAGCTCTTAAATTTTCATAAAAATGTGTGATTCTGCATGCATAATTCACATATAAGTGAAACTTGCTGTTAAGGTTTTTGAAACAAATTTGACATTTCTCCCAAATTTATTATAAAAATTAGATCAAATAGCACATCTGAAAATAGTCTACCAGCTTTTGTCGGTACAAGATATAACTATTTTTTTTTTAAATGAACTGCATCAATCGCGCATGCTACCTGGTTTTATTTTATTTATTTATTTATTTTTGGCAGGCAGAGTGGACAGTGAGAGAGAGAGAGACAGAGAGAAAGGTCTTCCTTTGCTGTTGGTTCACCCTCCAATGGCCGCCGCGGCCAGCATGCTGCGGCCAGTGCACCCCACTGATCCGATGGCAGGAGCCAGGTGCTTATCCTGGTCTCCCATGGGGTGCAGGGCCCAAGTACTTGGGCCATCCTCCACTGCACTCCTTGGCCACAGCAGAGAGCTGGCCTGGAAGAGGGGCAACTGGGACAGTTGCCTGGGGCAACTGGGACAGCCGCGGCGCCGGCCACGAGATATAACTATTAAAAAATACATTTTTGAGCCGGCGCCGCAGCTCACTAGGCTAATCCTCCACCTGCTGTGCCGGCACACCGAGTTCTAGTCCTGGTCGGGGCGTCGGATTCTTTCCTGGTTGCTCCTCTTCCAGTCTAGCTCTCTGCTGTGGCCCAGGAAGGCAGTAGAGGATGGCCCAAGTCCTTGGGCCCTGCACCCCATGGGAGACCAGGAGAAGCACCTGGCTCCTGGCTTCGGATCAGCGTGGTGCACTGGCTGCAGCGGCCATTGGAGGGTGAACCAACGGAAAAGGAAGGCCTTTCTCTCTGTCTCTCTCTCTCACTGTCCACTCTGCCTGTCGAAAAAAATTTTTTTTTGTTCAGCATTGAGTACTATTTTTTAAAAAATCCAAAGGATTATTTATAATTGTTACTAAAACAGTGAGGTGTTCAAAAGGGCCTAATCTATGGTTTGGTTATATTCAGTTCATATAGGGCTCCAAGATTTTAAAATCTGTGAAAAGATTGCCAAGTGAGCAGAAAGGGCTGAACTGGCTGAAAACTGGTTAGGAATTAGAAGACAGTGGGAACTGGGAGAAAGCCTTCCAAATTCTGAAAGGGAACATAAATGCTTAAAATGCATTTAAAGCCATAAAATCATCAAAAATACCACAGTGCATAAAAACAGGTGCTGAGAAAGTTTGTAATTTTCCCTTTAGTAGGGTTTGAGTGGAATAGGAGATGGTTGCTGTGGTCTGTTCATGATCTTTAGTCTGTATCATTCTACCAGATATTTAATGGCCAGGGGCTGAGACTTGTCTGTATCAGCATAGAGAATGTCTTTGGCCACAGGGCCAGAAAAACTCGATATTCATTGGCTGTAGCCTCCTGAGTTCATGTCTACATGAAGAACAGCCTGTATCAGACCAGAGCACTCTGCACTTCCAGAGCACAAGTGCTTGCTTCCTGGTCTCTGCTTGGATGGGCACGCCCTATTTCTGTGCCTGAGACTTTTTTCCAAGGCTCATCCTCATACTTACCAGAGCCTTTCTATAGCTGTTGCTGTTTCAGTCAGGTTTATGATGGAGGAGCTCCCTTTCTCCTGTGAGATCATTTTACGTGTCAGTGCCCAGAGCAGCGCTTGAGTTGTATCTGTGTTGTGAACCATTATCTGTTGAGCTCTCTGGGACTAATAGTGGACGAGGGCCCCCTGACATCTGAGGACTGACAGCAGTGCCAGTACTGACGTGCCAAGTGCTTATGTTAAGCTGAAGTCTGTTTCCACCAGGACTCCCCATGGCCCTTGTTAGAGCCCAGGGAGGCTGAGGGGTGGGAGGGGCCTCCCTGGGCTTTCTCCTTGACCTTTGTGCTCTTCCTAAAGGGGTAAAGGCCTGGCTCACCCACCCCACCGCCCTTTAGAGACAGGCCGTGAGACCTCTAGAGCCTTGAGTTTGCTTTCTGATTCCCATGAAGAATCATCTCACAAAATTTTCTTCTTACCAGGACCCAGGCCCTGTCCAGAGTCCAGATGTGCATTGGATGGGTACAGGAGCCCTGCGATCCACAAAGATATGGCCCCCTGCTTCACCTCTCAGGAGTGGCTCTGCTCTGGGAGACCAGCTGGAGCCTCCCTTTGAAATAGGAGTGCGTGACTTCCTGGCTGGGCAATCCGGTACTTGCCGCCTGGCTCCAAGACCCTAGCCTTATGCCACATCTTTCGAACTTCCTGTAACGTTGTCTTCACCATTCGTTCTCTCTGAGGCACTCTGGCCTGGCCCTTTGCTCAGTGTCCTCCATCTCTTCTGTGAGCCATGTCTGGCCAGCTGTTCCTTCTGTTGTCCCCCTGTGCTCCCTTCCCAGCTCTGACAGACACTGGGGACTGTGGTCTGGGTGTTTAGCAACACCTACCTGCTCATGGGGCTAGGAGTCCTCTGTGGGGAAGAGTGGGCTTCTCGGTGGGGCATCTAGGGCCAAGCGGCGCTCTCATGGTTCTTTTCCTCCTTCAGATCTCCATGCTGCTCAGGTGCCTGCCCTTACCCCGAGAGAGGAGAGCCCAGGAGACCAGGTGATGGCAGCAAGTTCCCTGACAGCCCAGCCCCAGGTGAGCCACAGGGCTTTTGCTCCTTCCCTATGACTCCATGTTACTGCCTGATGTAGTACCATACCTCCTCTTAAGTTTCTCTGTCCAGTGATCTCACGAGCAGAGACCCATGTTCCAGAGACCAGATTATCCCCCAGGACCTAGAACTCTTCCAAAGGGTGATGATCACTTTTTCCCCTTTGCCATATCCATCCTGTGCCCACTCAGAGCCAGCCCCATTCCCCCGCCCCAGCTCCTCAGAAACTGGGAGCTGTGGACCAGCTCTAGGCCACAGTGTTTTTTCAGGAAATTATGGCTTTCAAGGACGTGGAGGTGACCTTCTCCCAGGATGAGTGGGGATGGCTGGACTCGGCTCAGAGGAACCTGTACAGGGATGTGATGCTAGAGAATTACAGAAACTTTTCTGCTCTGAGTAAGTCATCCATCTCCCCATATGCCTATCTACCTTGACTTCTACCTTCTTGGCTTTTTTTGTGGTGTGTGGAAAGGGGCCTGAGCTGGTTTCATCCTAGTTCTGTAACTACAAACTGGATCTGTCACCTCAGTGTCCTCTTTGGAAAATTGGGGATAGTAATACCTCACACTGGGTTATTGTAAAGATTAAAAGTATGGTGTTTCAAGTTGCTGGTCCATTTAAGGCGTTCAAAAAAATGTTGGCTGATTGAAAAAATTGAGTTGTGGTGTGGTTCCGAGCTCCGGAGAATCTTAGCAGTCTTTCGCCTTTGACTGCTCTTAGCTTTCCTTGTCTCTGTCAGCTCAGGACTACTGAAAATGGCTGTCTGGCCTCCTGCCCTCGCTCTTTCCCACCTGCCTTCCTGGACTTTCCCCCTCCCTACCTCCTTAGCTTGAGAGGGTCTCCTGTGATCCATCACCCTTTCCATCCAATTCCCTTTTATGCAGTGGGACCATTCTGCAAACCTGCTCTGATCTCCTGGTTGGAAGCAAGAGAGCCATGGGGCCTGAATGTCCAGGAAGCCCAGCCTAAGAGAGAGCCAGATGATGCTCCTGCCGGTGAGTTCCAGAGAACCTACCAGTCCTATCTTTCCTGTATCTACTCTTCCTTTCTTAGTTAGAAAATTACTTATTTATTGTCATCTTACTTGAAAGAGAGACAGAGATCTTCTGTCCATTGGTTTATTCCCTGGATGCCTGCAACAGCCCTCACTGGGCCAGGCCAAAGCCAGAGCCAGGAGCCAGGACCTCAGTATGAGTCTCACACTTGGGTGGCAGAACTACTTGAACCATCACCTGCTGCTTCCCAGGGTGCACATTAGCAGGAAGCTGGAATGAGAACCAGACTGAGTTTTGAACTCAGAACACTCTAATATGAGATGGGGACACCCCAGTCAGCATCTTAACCACTGTGCCAGATGCCACCTATACTCTTCCCTTTCTTAAGGTCAGGTGTGTCACTGGGGACTTACTCCATTGTTCACTAGAAGGAAAGTATTTTTTTTTCCCCCAAGATTTGTTTATTTGAAAGGCAAAGTAACAGACAAGTGGTGTGGGTTTAGTTGGGGAGGGATATATTTCATCTTCTGGTTTACTCCCCAAGTGCCTTCAACAGCCAGTACTGGACTAGGCTGAAGCCAGGAGCAAAGGAACCCAGTCCAGGTCTCCCATGCAGGTGGCAGGAACTCAATGAGTTGAGCCTGTAATGCTGCCTTCCCCAGAGTCTGCCTTGATGGGAAGGTGGAATTGAGCTGGAGCCGCTAATTAAATCCAGACACTTTAATATAAGATGTGGGCCTTTTAACTGGCATCTTAACTGCTAGACCAAACACTCACCCCAAGAATGTACTCTTTTCTCATTCTTGGAACAGGTCAAAGCACCAAGGAGCAGTAAAATGTCATTACTGTACATGCATGGTTTTTGCCTGACTGCCGATATCCTTACAAAATAGCTACTATGAACATGTGGTATGAACCAGTTGATGTCTGTGTTTTCCTTTCTGCCTCTCAAGCAAATAAAAAGGTTTTTTTCTTTTAATAAGAGTATATTCTCTTGTGTTTATTTTTTATCAGGAAGTGAGCTCCAGATTCAGACAGACAAGTTCATTTTAAAACAGGAGCCTTTGGAAGAGAAAGAAACTTGTGCTGTACTAACAGTATGTCCTGCAATAAGTGTTCCTGAGGGAACGGGACTCCTGGAATCTTCTGAGCAAAAGAAAAGGTTAAAGGAGCAATGTAGAAACCTCATACAAGTGGGAGATAAGAAAGAAGAGACTGGTTGCAGTGATAGAGATGGAAAGGAATCCAAAGTGTCTGGAGGAGGAAACAGTGGTGATCTAAAACATGCTACACGTTTGACAGTTTCCAAACGAAAGCAGTCCCTTAAACATGGCTGTGGCAGACACTTCAGAACGAGTTCACACCATTATGACTACAAGAAACATGGGAAGGGGCACAGACTCATGATCGGGGGGTTCAGCCTACATCAGAGAGTTCATACTGGGCTCAAAGGGAATGAAAGGGACTCGTGTGGGAAAGGCTTCAGCCTTAGCTCTCATCACCAGCATGGGCAGAATCTCCACTTGGTGAGGAAGTCGTACAGGTGCAGTGACTGTGGGAAGACCTTCAATCGTAGCTCCCATTTGGTGTATCATCAGAGACATCACACTCAAGAGAAACCATTTAAATGTAGAGTGTGTGGGAAAGCTTTTGGATGGAACTCAAACTGTGTGCGACATGAGAAGATTCACACTGGAATGAAACCTTATAAATGCAGTATATGTGAGAAATCTTTCCAACGCCTGTCAGCCTACCGTCTGCATCAGGAAACCCATACAAAGCAGAAATTTCCCGAGTCAGATCAGTATAAAGAAGTTCTCACCTACAGTACAGAGTTTGAATATCATTTGAGAGACCAAGACAGCGAGAGATCATTTGACTGCAGCCAGTGTAGGAAATCCTTCCATTGTAAAGCATATGTTCTGGAACACCAAAGGATTCACACTCAGGAGAAACCCTATAGATGCACCATATGTAGGAAAACTTTTAGGTGGAGGTCAAACTTTACTCGTCATGTGAGGTTGCACCAGGAGGAAAAGTTTTATAAGCAAGAGAAATGTCAAGAAAGCTCAAGGCAGAAGAACTACAGTCAGCCCCAGGATGCTCCCGCTGTGGAGAAAACTTTTCCCTGTCAGCAGTGTGGGAAAACTTTTACTCGAAAGAAGACCCTTATCGATCATCAGAGAAGTCACACAGGCGAGAAACCCTACCGCTGTAGCGAGTGTGGAAAAGGCTTTACCTATAGGTCAGCCTTTATCGTTCATAAGAAGAAGCATGCCATGAAAAGAAAGCCCGAGGGCACGCTGTCTTCTGGTCAGGACAAGGTGTTCCAAGTTCCTCAGGGCAGTCCCACCACAGGAGAGCCTTACCAATGTAGCCAGTGTGGCAAAGCCTTCCGCAATCACTCATTCCTCCTTGCCCATCAGAGAATTCACACCAGAGAGAAGCCTTACAAGTGCAGGGAGTGTGGAAAGGCCTTCCGATGGAGTTCCAATCTCTACCGACATCAGAGGCGTCACTCTCTGAAAAAACAGTATGAGTGTCATGACGGTCAGAATATGCCAACTCTGAAAGCAAACATCCTCACTGATGAGAAGCCTTTTTGGTGTCAAGAATGTGGGAAAACCTTTACACGTAAAAGAAGTCTCTTAGATCATAAGGGGATACACAGCGGAGAGAAGCGCTATAAATGTAATTTGTGTGGGAAATCTTACGCTCGAAATTACCGCCTTGTTAACCATCAGAGAGTCCACTCTACCGAACGACCATTTAAGTGTCAGTGGTGTGGCAAGGATTTCATTGGGAGACATGCCCTTTCTCTTCATCAGAGAAAACACAGCAGAGCAGCAGCATCCGGGTGCAGCTTGCCTGGGTTATCTTCGCGTCAGGACACTGGGTTGAGTGTGCAGGAATTAAAACCAAGTGGGGAAAAGGCCCTGGAAGATTGTAAGGAGGTTGCTGACCAGAGCTCCAGGCACTCCAGACTGCAGAACATACCTGAAGGGGGCAAGTGCCACAGATGTAACATATGTGGGAAAACCTTTAACAAGCATTCGCAGCTCATTAGTCATAAGAGATTTCATACTCGAGAGAGGCCCTTCGGATGCCTAGAGTGTGGCAAGACCTTCAGGTGGTCTTCAAACCTGGCTCGGCACATGAAAAATCATGTTAGAGATTAGCCTAGGGCCTGACGATGACAATGGGGTCGGGAGTGCTCCCCAGCTAGCCTGCTAGAGAGCCTTCGGTCATGGGGAAATCCTTCACAAAGGGCCCCGCCCTTTGTATTTTGGAAGCTGATGGCAGAGTCCTGAGGATTTACAAGCTCACTGAGGCCCCAGCCCACCTGCTGGAAAGGGCTGCTGGGGCTCTTCTGGCTCTAGGAGTGGCCTCTGCACAACACCCTGGGGCTTCCCCAGCCAGCTCCCACAGCTCTAAAGAGAGAGACCATTGCCTGTTGTTGTTGAACAAAATATTTGAGGCCTGGTGGGCTGTAGCTGCTGAGAAGAGGCCAGTTGGATTCTAGATTTCTCTTTGAGCTTGGCCTGTGACAATGCCTGTTCTGTTGGTATCAAAAGCAATAGCATCAAGAATTGATCTCTCTAGATGCCTTCTGGGGAGTTCTGGCTGGATCTTCAGCTTCATAGCCGCTTTTGAATGTATCTGCCAAAGGCCTAGTGTTGTCTGAGCAGCAGGAGGAGGCGAGCAGGGTGCTGGGCTCAAGTACTTGGAGAATGAAGCTCTCCTGATGTCCTACCACCATCTCTACTGGGCAAGTCTACACAGGCAGCAGCAGAAATGTGCTGAACACCTGCCTAATATCAGGCGCAAGTGTGTGTGCTGGAGACCCCGTAGGTGGTCTGTCCTGTATTGCATCTTGTACAGACACTGAACAAATGAAACATGCGGTATTCTGGATAGTGATGTGTGTGGTGGGCACAGTAAATCAGAGAAGAGTGAGGAGTGTTGGATTTGGAGGTGAGTTGTGATTTTGGGTGATCAGGGGACCCTCAGCTGAGAAGGTAAAATTTGAGCAGTCTTGAAAGAGGTCAGGGAATGAGCCATGTAGATATCTAAGAATTTGAGGCAGAGGACCTGGGGTCTTGTCCGGTATTTTCAAGAGATAGAAAGAAAGTCCTGGTGTAGAATGGAGTGAGCCAACTGGAAGAGGAGGAGAGGGGGCCTGAAAGGTGGTAGACGGGCTAGGTGAGCATCGCAGATCATCCATGGGGCTTGGGACGTCTTATAGTGGGTAGCAGAGAGGGCTCTTTGGGAAAGTTTTAGTTGAGTGATGTGATCTGAATTTGAAACATCTACAAGGGTCAATCACAGACCTAGGACTCAGGAAGATGGCATGGCCATTAGGATTTTTATGCAGTTACTTCTGCCGGTTTCTATAAATGGGACTTTTTAACCCACTAGCACTTCCGTATTTAGGCTGAACACTCTGCAGGTGCCTTCTCATCTTCACAGCCATCTTGGCATGTGAGATCTGGTACTGGCATCAGGTTCAGCCTAAAGTTACCCAGACCACATGCCTGCTGCCTCTAAGAGAGAAGGTGGCCTGTGGTAGAGGTGCCCTCTCTGACTTTTTAACCACTGGTGTTGAAGCAAAAAGCAAGAACACAAAGGTACAAGAGTGACATTTCTAAAGGAAATTAAATTTGTTACAGTTGATTGAAGAATGCAGATTATAAATGCAAGGATGAAATGTCTCAGTTGGGCAACATCTCAGACTGCATTTGCCTATGAGTAGGCGCGCATTTGCAGAACAGGTGCTGTATTGTGATGATGGAAAGAAACAAACTTGGACAGTCTTTTGGTAGAGTACAGTCGTCCTATCTCCTGGTTTGCCGTAGCAGGTGAGCATGAAGCCTCTGGTACTGTGGAATAATATCACAGCATGGGCAAGGGGTGGAACAGGCATCTCCTGTTGGTGTCCTTGTGGCTGTTCATCTTTGTCATTTGGCTTTGCCATCCCCTTGTGTTTGTGCAACAGTGGCTGCCCATGGCCTAGAATCAGTATTTCTTCACATGACAGTGCTGCCCCAGACTGGCCCTGGATATGGCTGAGCAGAGGCCAGAGACCTACGTGCTTGGGCTCCAGGGTCATGAGAAGGGCTTTGGAGTGATCAGATTTGGGTGCCAGCTCAGTGTTCCTTTTCTTGGCAGGGTGATCTTCAGTGAGTCATCAGAATTGTGTGTTAATTTTCTTTAATGTACCTAGCTGTACTATCTGACTCCTGGGACTGGTTTATGAAGGCTCTGGGTTAGGTTGTTGATCTCTCAGACCAGAGCCTTCGCAGAGGTCCCCCTCTCCCCACCCCCCACGACACTGGTTGTTGCTGAAACCACGGAACTACTCTTTTGTCCATATTTTCTTCACTCCTTGTGTAATCTGATACCTCATAAAGTTCCTGCCCCAATAGGAGTAATTTTGCTGTCATTTTTATGGAGTGAGGTGGGCTTGCACATTCCAAATAGGTTTTAACATGTACAAAGGATGAAATCAAGATCAACAGAAATAATTCTGTGTTGAAATAAACTGTTAATACTTTTGAATTTTACTAATGCACTTTGTTCAGTAACCTGAGTTTTCAAATAATCTTCAATTTATATGCAGTCTATTACAGAAAAGTGAGTCAATGCACATTAGTTGAAAAGGTAGAAGCAAAAGTCTATTTGGAACTAACTGCTAAGCATTTTGGTGTAGTCAGTATTTGGCTTAATTGCTCCTCTATGCACACTGTTGGCTGTCTTGCCTTGTGCTGTCTCTTTCACCTGGAGTGCCACAGCTCTGTTCCTGCTGCTCCAGATCTTCCCTCCTCAAGGTCCCCATCCATCTAAGCTCTCTTCCCTAACCCTTCCCCCCGGGGCCTGTGTTACTCTGTTGCCTGGTGTTCCAGTTAACACCCATCACTACAGCCAAACCCATTAACTCTTGGAGTCCAAGGTTGGGGACTTACTTACCTGTTGGCCATGCAGAGATTTTGCATAAAATTGCCTCTGTTGAGTCTAGACCTGAATTTAGTTTTAAGTATGGAGTTTTGGGAAGTAGCTTTTGTGTGAAGTGTTGACTGGAATACACCTGCTGTTTAGGAGCCCAGCTATGGATGGTTCTGATCCATATGGCTCCGGGTGACTATTTGGGTTGTCTTTGACACCAGTTCTCAAATCTTGTACCCCAAACTGATCTGGAGAGCATGCAGGCCCATTTCTCTGCTCCCTTGGAGGAACTGAAGTTGGGATTGAGGAGAGTTAGATGGATGAGGACAGTCACAGAGAAGAGTGGATATCAGAAGGTCTTTTGGTCACCTGTTAGGTGAGTCAGCCCCATGGTTGGTGACAGAGACTATCAGACAAGACAGGCATGTGCTGAGAAGAATACGTGGGAATTATAAAATAACATGGATCACCTCACACTTTGTCAAGTTGGCATGTTTTTGAAAACCCAAGTGTGGGTAAGTATGTGGAACAGTGAGAATTCACTGCTTTGGGAGCAGAAATTGTGACAGCTGTGCCAAGCAGTTTGTGAAGTCTTGCAAAGTTGTGAGTATTCTACTTGCTAGCAACTCCACTCCTGGATATATCATAGAGCAACCCTGTATGAAGAAAGAAATGACTGAGACTGTTCATTGCAGTGTTATTTAGGTAGCAAAATTGGCAAAAGCCTACATTTCATCAGCAGAAGAACAAGTAAATGTTTTTTGGTACTTTAGAAAGAGGACTATGCCTTTCAACACAGACAAATCCAAAACCGTGCAGAGAAAGTTGGAGAAGCAACATGCAATATACCACTTTTGCAAAAATAAGCATTCTGTGGGTCTGGGCACATCTCTTATTTGTGTTTCATGTTTGGTTAAATGGAATAGTAGTACAAGCCTCAAAAGGTGATTAGGGGTTGGGGGGCCAGTTAAAGAAATAATGCATGTAAATCACTTAGAATAGAGTCTGACATGTACTCATTGTTGGCATGTAACAGTGGTGTTACTATTTTTGCACAATAATTTCTGTGGAATCAAATGTTAAGAAATAAGTGTAAAGTCATGTGTTGGAATGATATGTACACGTTGCTACTCTGCCTTTTCCCAGGGCGAGAGATGCTGATAAGATCTGGAAAGGGATGTAGGACTTGGAGTTTGTTTCTAAAAATTGATGCAGATGCATCAGAATGTAAAGACTTAACAGGACAATATGATGGGTTCTTTTTAACTATTGGCTTAAACTATTTCAGAATAAAAGTATTTTTAAGCATGGGCTCTGACATCTTGTGACTATGTGGAAATCCTGGATCTGCCATTTATGTGATGTTACTAAGAGGGAGCTGTTTACTGTCAAGGCTTCAGTGTATACACCTGCAAAAATTGGCAACAGCACAAATGGCTGATAATCAAGGATTGGTTAAACAACAGTAGTACATCTGTGATGGAATATCACAAATCATGTTATCCATGTTGTGATGCATGAGCTCCAAGAGAGACAGCTTATAAGAAATTACAACTCCATTTTCCTTAATTCTTCATTGATAAAGAAGAACAGTTGAATCCAGAAGTTATCAGTACGTAATTTTGATGAGGAAAACAGATCCTGATGAGAATGGACATGGTTGTCGACCTTTCTACCTTCTACCGTACTTACTAAGTTAATGCCCACCTAAGAACTGCAAGATTTGTACCAGCCTGGTCATTGGAAACAGAAGTACTGATTTAAACAATGAATTGAAAGAATTAATGAGATAAATTTGAGAAACTAGAAAGGTGTTATGGAGGTAGTATCCTGTATCTAGGACAGCTGCCAGGGCTGGAGGAGCTGTGATAGAATATCTCCTCAGTTCTGGTATTTGGCTGCCGACAGCTTACAAGTTCACCTCATTTTGCCCCACATGTGTGTAAAATAAGAAAGCCCAGGCACTCCCTCATGGTGTGAGGGGGCAGGTCATATTATGCAAAACCTCCTATAACCATAATAAAAACCAGAGCTACTTGATGTGTGCAGTGTCATTGGTGTCAACATCTGAGCATTTTTTGGATGACGGTGTGTTGATCCTGCCTTCCAGGGGCCAACTTCAAAGGAGAAACAAAAGTTACTAAAGTCACTAAAGGTAGATGACGGATTGACGTGCAGCTCACTTCTGACCTTTAAGGGGAATACTGTTGTGCTGGTGCTAGTGTCAGCTCAGAGGAAGGGCCCTGTGGCCGCCTGTGGAAGGAGCCCAGCTGCTGATGGGGGTGTCTTGGCCATGGGGGAGGAGTCACAAGGAGGCTGAACTGGAATTTCTAGTTCTTTTTGCTTGAAGAACATAAAGGCATGTCCTGAGGATTGACACTTGTCCAGAACTAATACACCATCTACTCGTGCAGTAGACTTCAAAGGATGATTGTGGCAATACCCATCAAGCTGCATAATTTTGCTGATTATGAGGAATGTGTCTTAAGGGCGTGGGATCAGTGAAGAAGTTTAAAGTCAGATGAGGCTAAATTTACTGATACATGCTCATTCAGTGGAGATGTGTATTGTTTTTGAGAAACTGAGAATGGTTCTAACTGCTTGCCTGTTGGTTGAATGAAATATGGCCACAAGATCTGCCTGCTGTGGCATAGCAGGTTAAGCTGCCATCTGCAGTGCTGGCATCCCATGTGGGTGCTGGTTCTAGTCCCAGTTGATCCACTTCAGATCCAAGTCCCTACTGATGTGCCTAGGAAAGCAGTGGAAGATGACCCAAGTATTTGGGCCCCTCCACTCACGGGGGAGACTCAAAAGCTCCTGGCTCTTGGCTTCAGCCTGGCTCAGCCCTGGCCATTGTGGCTATTTGGTGGAATGAACCAATGGATGGAAGATTCTCTGTGTGATCCCTCTAATTCTGACTTTCAAATAAATAATAAATCTTTAAAAAAATGACAAAAAATATGGTCACAAACATAGCCTACACTACATGAATTGAAATGCTGGAACTCCTTGCTGTTCTGTAGAAGAAGATACTTTAAATGGTTAGGGAAATTGAAATGCTTGAGTGTATCATGTAGTACCCGCTTCCCTCCCCAAGGGGGTCCAGAGGCATTCCTTCATCAGACTGAGAAATAAATTCATGCTGAAAGTCCCAGATAGCACAGGACAAATTAAAATGAAAACTAAGAACCACATGGGTGATGGAATCTTGAGAGGGAGCATGTGGTAAGCTTGAGTCATCTGAGATGAGAGGTGTGCCTATAATGACAGTGAAGCTGGAGCAGTAATTAGAATAGTCTGACCCATAGAGACCTTTGGTGTTGGCTAGCTGGCCAGAATCCCTGGAAAGCAAATGGATGGGCAGCCTACTAGCACTTTACTTGAGTTACTGGAAAAGCTCCAGGTGAAGTCTGGTTTGACTTGAGTCACCAAAAAGAGTGAGCTAGTTCATAGAGCTTTAAAAAAGGGTAGACCAGGTCCCAATTAGACTGAGCAGAATGCATACTTTTAATCTTCATGGCCTTCCCCAAAGGCATTGAGGGCTGATTACCAGAGTGGTGGTGCATTGGGAAGGGCAAACAATCAGACCTTTCTGGGATTGCCAGACCCTGATTCTGGTTAACACTGATTACAGGAGACTCAGAATGCCACCATGGCCCCCCAGGGCATGTGTGTGTGGTGGTCAGGTAGATCAGAGTTTTAACTGATTGATCTTACAGTAGGCCTAGCAGCTTCCTGAATCCATCCTGTGGTTATTTCCCCATTTCTAAAATGCATAATTTGACTTGCTCAGCAACAGTCCGGAGTCCCACATTGGTTTCCTGTCCCATGGAGCAAAAGCTGTTAGCCTGCGTGGTACCCCCTGGATTTGCTCTACTTTCCAAATAGGAAACGAAAGGAATGCTGCATTTCTGGAGACTATGAAGATCAATGCCACCATCAAAGGCCTGAAGCCACATTTCCAACTTGCCTATTTGGCTTGTGGAGAATGTTTGAATCTTGGAGAAAGACACAAGTAGTGACTCTCAAGTGCAGATGTTGAGCAAATCACATCTGACGCCTGGTTTGCGATTACTGTATCTGTTAGGGAAGACCATGAAGAGCAGTTTGCTTTCAGGTGAATAGACCTTCACTACCCTACCTAAAGGCCACATTAACTCCACATCCCTACTCAAAATCCAGTTTGTCCAGTCATCATTCCACCCTCAGGTTGCCACACAGGTCCACCATATTGATGATATTGTGGTCATTTTGCCGATTGTGCAGGAAGGAGCAACCACTCAAAATGCGGTGAGACCACCTGCTAGAGTGTAAGAAATAAGCCTGGCTTGATTTGGCCAGTGTGAACATTTTTCAAAATTCTCTTCTTCTTTTAATAGTTCTGTATGTTCAAGGAAATCACAGCGGACAGTTTTACATAACTTTTGCTGGGATGTAAGATAACCATGTTTAACATTTTGGGAAACTGCCAAGCTGTTTTCCAAAAGGGTTGCCCTGGACTCTCAGGTAATTCTCAGCTCACAACAGAGATTCAAACAAGGGTATTTCTGTGAGGGTGTTTTTGGATGAAGTTAACCTTCAAGTTGGTGAACTTGAGTAAAGCAGGTGCCCTCCATCATCTTGGTGGGCCTCATCCAGTTAGTTGAAGACCCAAGTAGAACCAAAGGTCTGGACTCCCCTGAACAAGAGAGAATTCTGCAAGAGAGGATTCTGGATCTGTAACATTGCTGCTTCCTGGTTCCATAGCACATAGTCTTCAGGCTCTACCTGGAGCACTGGCTCTCCCAGGTCTCTAGCCTGTTGGTTCACTTTGCACATTCTGGACTTGCCCCGTAATCATAGGAGCCAACGCCTTAAGTGAAATCTACACACATACCTGTGCATGTGCACACACAAGTAGATGTATTTCAATAAAACATGTAGGGGCATTGAAATTTATTTCATATAATCTTGACATATACTCAGTTCCAATTTCCTTGAACCTTTGAAGTATCCTCGTATTGTCTGGTGTCCTTTAGGTCAGACCTAGACCACAGCTTTTACACTGGTGCTGATCCAAATCCCAAGAACATTGGTAATCCCAAGTGTTGAAATGCTGAAAGAATCCCTAAAGATCAAAGTCTTGAAAATCACAATCCTGAAATAATAAATCCCCAAATGCTGAAAATCCTGAAAGCTGAAATCCCCCAAACCACAGTTTCTGTTGGGGGGAGGAGGGAAGGCAGGCTAAAATCTTGGGGAGGGATTAGTGTGTTTTTCGTTGCCAGATTATTCAGTCATGGACTACTGTACCTTGACAAATAGCACCACACTTCTCTTCAAAAAATATCAGGGAACAGACTTGAAGAAGCTTAGAGACTTGAACCTAAGAAATTTTCTGATAATAGGGGTTTCTCTAGTTAAATCTGTGATAGTTAACACAGATTTAACAGTGAACTACTCTTGGTTAGGGATTTGACTCTCAAAGAGGATAAATCCCCTACACTTACCACTAAATCCAACATAGAAAAATTAGTACGTGCTTCACATTGACTAATGAATGGCACTTTCACAACTGTGCCTACTGTTTTTAATAAAATAGATAAAATTTATTCCCCTGATGGACCCTAGAACTCACCCACTCATTTATGTATTAATGATTGGAAAAAAACAAGAACAGTTTAAAAACGGTTATTTGAATATTTGGTGGACTTTAAAGAAGAAAATGGATTTCAATGAATTCACCAAACCATACTGACAGATTTGTAATTAGGTGAGATTAAACTTCTAAAAGTGAATTTCCAATTGTTACCAATACAGTTTGTTTTTTCTACTCAGCCTGATATATTTGGTGGAAAATTTAGATGATGTTGGCCATGTGATAATGGTAATGGCACAAAATTCAATTTAAAGATGTGTCACTTGTCTACATTGGCATTCCTTGCAGCTGATGAAATTTCAGGAGCTTTTAATAAAAGAAAAAGGCAATGCCCAAAGAAACCAGTAAAGTTACTGTCAGCTTGGATAATATGTGCATGATAGGATAAGACATTTAGGCAAATATATTGGTGTTCTATCCCCAGTGCTGTTTTCACCAAATTTGTGATTTGAATAAGGAGTGCATGCAGAGTGGATTTCCTTATAACAAAACGATATAGAAACATGGCACGGAAGATGGGAAAATGGGATTTGGAATAGTCCTGTCGGTGTACATCGGATCATAGAATAATTCCCACAAGATTGTCCCCAAGTTGAAAATGAATGTGGATATATTCTTGGAGGAGAGCATCACCTAAAAGGAAAAAGGTACTATTCATTGGGATTCAAGACATCCAGAGTTAGTTGAGGATTATGGAAATTGGGCCGCTCCCATGGACTAATTCCATGCAGCTGCACATAATCTATTCCTGTAATGCAGTTTCTCATGTGTCAGATTTAATTTTTTTTAGCTTTTTCCTATTTTGAATTGCCAGCATTTTTCTTTTCTTTTTACAATTTGCTATGCTGTGTATTTCATCTTTGCGTCATTTCCAGTAATGGAGATGTAAATTATGTAAAAAAAATCCTCAGAGAATTTCCATTTGTTTTAATGTATTTTTTTTGCAAATTTGACTTTGCAAAAGTGGGTTATTACAAAGCTGACTTGTATGAGAACATTGTGCACGTGTGTACAATGTGGAAACTTCCTTAGTAAATGAAGAAATGTCCCTTTTTGTGCATCTGCACTTGTGAAAGAACAAATTTCTCAAGATCCTGGTTCTTTGGGTCTCTGAATCTGTGGTGGTAATCCTTGCAATTTTGATCCATTTCATCACTGTCCATCAAAGTGTTTGAGATGACAACAGTTATGCAGTGGGGTGCACACAATTACCAACCATAGTGATACACATTTATACCTTTGTTTCTGGACTGTATATGAATATCACTCATAACTGCTATGCCTCTGTGACTATTATTGTGCTTGGAACCATGTACATTGCTGTTATGTAAAGCAGCTTATGAAATGTCCTTTATGTTTTTCAAGTAAATCTCTTTTAAAATATAGGTAAATGCCTTTTTAA